TCCCTCCCTCCCTCCCTCCCCTCCCTCTCTCTCTCTCTCCCTCTCTCTCGTTAAAACCGATTATCACGCAAACGCGTCAACAGTGTCTTTCAATTGTGACAACCAGAAGTGCTGTAACTTCATCTGAAAAAAATGTGTGCCCATCGTTTAGTAACTGAATATACGTTCGCTCTTTTACAGATAGAACTCATAAAATTAAACAATCTTTTATCATTTTATAAATACGATAATTATTGAAAAAAAGAAAATTAACGAAAGAGTGTGTGTAATGCGGGATAAGCTCTTTAAGCAAAGTCTCATTGAAGATATCTGAATCTATTGACAATTTATTAGAAACGGTAGTGCGTAACATTGGACTGCACATCTTTATTATCTAACATCTCATTATCATGATCTTTCGAGAAAGATAATTCACTTTTTGTAAATCATTACCAAAGGTCTTTTTGTTCAATTTCACGAGTTCTTCCTGCACACGACCGGATATGCACGTTGTGTCGAATACCATGTATTCGTATGCATATATGTCAAACTGATGAAAATATAATATTACTTACTCTCAAAAGAGTAGTATGTAGTAGTATGTGGTGGATGTATGTATTGTCCCTGAATTGGTTGAGCACTAGTGGTAACCGTGCTGTTGTTTGTACCAGCAGCCGACACACGTAAGCTAGCTTGTTGCGGCGACTTGATCTGTACAGTTTGTCCAATATTTTGGGACTGTGCAGCCTTGATGGGTGCCGTTGTGGCCCTCACCGGTACCAGTGGCAAAGGATGCAAAGACATACTCGTGATTCTTGCAACTGTAGTTGGGACCGTTTGCAATATACGCGTCGTGTTCGACGTGTTCGTAGTTGTAGTAATCACTTGCGACATTGTGTTGAGATTCGACAAGGATGTGACAGTTTGAACAACACGTGGTGCACCTTGTTGCTGTTGAACCTGTCAATATATATTCACGGCATATTCTGTCAATATCAGTTAAATTAATTCACATATATCTTACATCGCAACATTTTTTTACATATATGAATCTAAGATGTATCATGTAATACGTATATACTTGTACTAACCTGCTGTGAAGGAATAACGATGTGACTAACGGTGCCGGTTGACGGTCCGGCTACTGTGTTAATTGACAACTGTCGACCTACAGTGGGTTCAACAGTAACTGCAGACGTACCACTTATTCTGTTTGCTGTTTCTACAACAGGAGCAGGTACAGCTACACGTTTTGTAGCGCCTGTCGTAGTTAGAGGTCTGCTGGATTGACTGGTTGGCTAATAATTTTGCAATACAATTATTATAAATCAATAATTTATCATTTCATGTAAATACCTCCTCTCCTCTATTCTTTTACGTATTTTTACGTATTTTACGTGTTTAAATATAACATCTCGTTACTTTGGATAAATTATATTTTTAAAAGATTATTTATTTACCTGAATGGTTTGTGTCGACGATCTTCCAGGTTGCGAAGTCTGTGTCACCGTTACCACTTGGGGCGTCAATGGTCTACTTTGTGCAAGTGGAAGTCTGGTAGTAATGCTATTATTTGTTTGCAGAATAGGTGTTATTAATCTGGACGGACTACCAGTAATAGTGGCTTGAACAGATCTGCCTTGACTATTTGGTGTAATTAATCGTGGCTGTTGTCCTGTGTATACAGACGATGGTCTGGACACTCTATTCATCGGGGGTGTAGGATGTCTTTGTGGTTGCGCGTATACGACGGATGTTGTTTTCGGTTGCCATTGAGGATTAGAGATTGTTGTATTACTGTAAAAAAATAGATCTGATAATCTCCAACATAAATTTTTTATAAATTTTTTTTTAATTTTTTCTTAATGTGTATGTGCATGTGTATACGCGTGTATGTTTTATGCGTATGTACATGCATGCGTATATATATGTAGCTGACTGAGTACACGTGCGTGTGCAAGTGTATAATTAAATTAAATAATATGTATATGAACACGCGTGCGCACGCGCATATATACTCATGCCATACATACCATGATCTGGTAGTAGGCACAGTCTGTCCCGTATTCGCTCTGACGATAGGAGTAGCAACTGTTGATCTGGGTGCAGAGATATTAGCAACTGCTGCGGGTCCTCTTGGTACATGATACGTGGCGGGCATACTGACTTGTTGTGTTAATTGTTGCGATTGTGATTGGTTTTGCCTTTCCACAGTACTTAACATTCCTGGCGATATTATTCTTACTGTAGATCCTACAGGACATAACTAAAAACAATAAAAGATTATTAGTATTAATAAACTTATTACAATATTACAGTAAATAGCAAGTAGGTAATTTTATCTTGTCACATAAAGTAAACATAGTAAAATATATTGTTTATAATGATAATTATAAGACTGATAATAATAATGAAGAGAATGGAAGAGGAGGGAAAAGGAAGAAAAAAGAGAAGAAAAAGAAGATAAAGAGAGGATGGCCCTCCACCCTCCTGGAAGATCACAAACTGAGTCTATTATATCTCCCCATTTCACAATTACCAGTTATTTCCCTGTTCTTCTCTGAGAAAAACAGATCTTTAAGGGAATAATTTGGTCTAGTGTAAACTGATTAGTGTAAAATTTTGCATACATATTCATGATGGAAGAATTCTCATAAATTTTTATATATAACAAAATATAAATTATTCTTATTTTATAATATAATACTTAAAAGAGACAGAAAATTATGTTGCTGATTGATGTAATTGCAGTGATATTACTCATCTGAAACAAAGAATCAAAACAACTTTTGTTAATTACAAATGTGAATATAATTTTATAGCAGAATGTAGAAAAGAAGTCGATAATTTTCAAAATAAAAACAGTAAAAATTACATATAAACTTTTCCTTCAATATTTCACGTTATAATTTCTATACAAAATATCCAATATTTTAAGTATAATTAGATTTTAAGTTATAAAAAGATAATTAATTTAAAGATTGGAACAAGTTTTGACAGATTATAAACAGATACATTTATTTTACATGTAAAACAATTTTTTAAATACTTTGGTATATATTTTGAAATATCAAATCAATCAGCTTAACATGTTCGCTACCACTATTGATGTGGAAAATTTTCCTTATAAATCATCCAGTATTATTTTATGTAATTGTATAAAACTGGCTTAATTTTTTTATGTGAATACAGAAAGAAAATTATCATTGTCACACATGATATGATATTGGTCTCTCATAAAAGGCTTGTTCTTTCTTGAAGAACTTATTGACCTTACTACCCTAACAGCACAGATGTCCAGGAGACGTTCAGAGTATGTCCTGAGAACATCCTAGGGATGTTTCTACATTCTCAGGACATCTCTGGGATGTCCCCAGGAGATCTTGTGCTGTATAGGTAGTGTAAGTTATAATAATAAAATATACTTGTTTCACTGCAACTTAATGTACTAATATATACTAGTTCAAAAAGTTCTTTGAAAAAGAACAAACCTAAGAAGTGCATCACACATATATGACGCTAATATATAGCAAACATGTTAAAAACAAAAACTTTGAATAATTATAATATGAAAAATATATAAATTTTAAGTTGTTTACCATTATACGGGTCAGCCTCATCAATGATTAAAAACAAAATGGACTGAACATAAGAGGAATGTTATGCGGAATAATTCATAACGTTCGGTAGCCTCTGACCACCAAATGGGACGAGACGTATATTCTCGATGAGGAATCCTCAAATAAAAAGAGGATGAATTATAAAATACTGTATATAAATAAGTATAATGATTTTTAAGCGGTAAACACTGTTGAGCTATTAGATCGAGTGTATTTTTCTATTTTGGATAGTATTTTTAGGATTTGAATTTCCCATGTATGTAGTTTTCATAGTCTGTGTTCCAATATTTATTACTGATACTGAAAATCTATGGTATATATAACATGAACTCTAGATTTTCAATACTGGCAATAAATACCGAAACGTAGTCATAGTATGTATATACAGCTAAGATTATTCCTCTATTAGTTGCCATGATTTATGTTTTATTTTCATTTTAAAAGGATCTCACTATAAATTATAGATTCTTCCATTTTTTTCTGAAGGTTGTAAAGTTTAACATTGTATTTTAAGTGGCATATTAAGGAAGCCATTAATAAATTTACAATTTATTGAGAAAAATTATGTTTACATTTATTTTATTATTTAAATAATAAATGTTAATCTGAAACAAAGATGAGATAGATAAATAAATAAATAAATATATATGTACTATATATATATATATATATATATATATGTGTGTGTGTGTGTGTGTGCGCGTGTGTGCGTGTGTGTGTATACACAATATAAAAACAAAAATATTTTTAAAATTTTTCTTAATATTTCATTTATGCATCAGTTGATCTAATAGAGATGCACAGATAATAAAAAAGATATATAAATGTTAAAATATATATGTATATATATTTGAAATATTACTATTATAAACTTTCCACTACTGTATTTTTAAAACAAAACAGTCGATAATTTTTATATTTATATTTAGTATTTTAATATAATATATATAAATTTATTCAGTTCTTAATGTTCATGTTTTTTTTAACATCTTACATTTTCCTTACAATCTCTTTAAATACATATAAAAAAAGAACTAGATCTTCTACATATATAGTTCTACATATAAATATAAATTTTAAAACTTCTATAAAAAATTAAAAACATTGAGGACACAATATCTGCAAATTTTCTATAAAAGAAAATTGCTTTGCTATTTAAATTAATTATAACTACGTTTCTATGGTAAACGTAGCTTAGTAACAATCAATCTATGTTGCGATAAAGAACAGAAAATTAATTTAAATAAATTTTTGCTATTGCACATGTTGCATAAATAACTATACCAAATACAACACTAACAATTACAATATCAAGAATTATCAAATCACTCTTCTACTAGTTGTATAACTATAGATTACAATATCTATATGAGTATTACTAGAGTTGTTTTAGACAGTTATTTCATATAAATATGTAAACATAGTTTAATTACACATAGATTTTTTAGCAAAACTGAAATTGAATATTTGGAAGTTATCGTATGAAAACATTGGGTCTATAAAAACTCCTTTTATCCAAAGAACTAAGAGTTAAAATCCCAAAACAAAATAAAAAAATAAAGCATATAAACTACAGCATATTTCCAGCTTATCATATCAAATCAATCAGTTTATCATATTTGTTATCAAATATCATATGTTATCAATTTATCATATTTGTTATCACATTGTTATCAAAAAAACAATTATAAGAGTTTTTGTGTATATAAAGAATTCTTATATTATTTATTTTATATATTCTAGTTCTTTGGATTTCGTCATTTAACCATAAGCATAAATAAATAAGCTATGACGAATACAGAGTAAAAAATAAACGTCAATACATCTAACATTAATGTTTTAAATAATGCTATATATTATTTATTATCAATACTTATTAAATACTTTTAAAATATTACCGTAGTTATTTTACTGGTTTCTATAGATGAGGTAGTACCAGATGGCACTACAGGCTTCATTAAGGACAACTTGGGACTCATGTCCAATGACACTGATTTACCAACAAGACTGGGTGTTCCTACTGATCCAACAATAGTCTGAGTTGGTTGAATATTTTGAATATTGCTTTGTACCACACTTTGTACATTCTGTACATTTGGTACATTTTGTATCGTAGTTAAATTTTGTGCTACAGTTTGCACAGTTGTTTCCAGTAAACGTTTATCACTGCCACTGTTTACAGAGCTCAATGTTGTATTCATAGCTAAACTGTGTTAAAATAAAACAGATAATATAAATTAATTATCCAATAATTATACACTAAGTTTATTAAAAAAATAACTTATAAGTTTTAAATTAAACCAAAATATATCGATAGTTTACGTGAATAATAGGATGTATAATAAGCAACATCAAATTTACCGTGTTTGCTGTACAGAATATGATCAACATAACGTTACTTACTGTACGTATCGCGAAAGTCAAATAGCTTTGGAGGTTACGCCGCTCCGTTAACGCACGATTGAGAAATTCACGGTTGATATATATTATGTAGTTGCTTCGTCGTCAATACTGCACATTCTCAAATAGGAGGACGAGTTATACGGAGTAAAACAGTGATTTGCTCGTGTTTCGATCTGACAGCAGTCAGCATATCGTCAACGAATTGTCGCCCGCACAAAGATGCTGCATACCTGCGTAAAAGTACGGAGCCGAAGAAATCTATCTGTTTACTCAAATGTGCACAAAACTGCTAAAATTTCTTTGACGTTACACTGCAAAAGATATGCGTTTCAAACTGTGTGAAACAGTCAATATCACTACAAAAGTTTATAACGCCTAATACACACACATTCCTGACATAAGCGTAAGACAGAGAGAAGAATGAGAGTGGCAATGCCTGCATTTAGAGCGTGATGGGAAAGTTGGCTGATTTGCAGCGCCTCTATGTCCATTTTTCGTGGATAAATTACTAAGCCAATGTCCACGATTCGCTTAGGTAGGTTCTGTTCCGTGCTATGTGCACAATCGTCGTGTCCGCTGTACACTCAGTTGCGTTGATGCTATACCATTCCTCAAATCAATAGTCACTAAAAAGTTTTGACCAGCCGTATTCATTTCTAGCTGATCGTTTCTCATGACTGTTGATTCATCCGGCAAGCGGGAATGTGTCAAAATAGAAGTGACATTTTGACAGTTTGACGTTTCATACATACGTGTTTTTATTAGGTGTATGTACAACTTTGCTTCCGCCGTTTTTTTTTCCAAAATTCGAGGCTTTATTGTAAAAAACTGGTGATACATTTATGATTCAAAATATTGTCCATCGCTGGCTACTACTTTCTCCCATCTTTCGGGCAGCGTACGAATCCCGCGTCGAAAAAACTGGTCATCTTTTGAGGCGATCCACGAATCGATCCAATTTTTTACTTCTTCATAAGACCGGAAGTGCTGGTCAGCCAGGCCGAGTGCCATTGATCGAAATAAGTGACAGTCAGAAGGAGCAACGTCTGGAGAATACGGCGGGTGGGGTAGGACTTCCCATTTTAACGTTTCCAAGTATGTCTTGACCACTTTCGCAACATGGGGTCTGAGCTGCAAAATCACTTTATCGTGTCTCTCGTTGTATTGCGGCCGTTTGTCTTTCAATGATTGGCTCAAACGCATCAACTGTTCGATAATGATCGCCTGTGATTGTTTCAGTCGGTTTTAACAGCTCATAATACACTACGCCGAGCTGATCCCACCAAATACAGAGCATGACCTTGGAGCCGTGAATATTCAGGAGCGGTGCACTTGGACACGGTGCATTTGGACACAGCCAATCACAGCACCGTGTGATTAGAGACATTTGTAGGGTCCCTTGGAACAGCGACTTGTGATTGGACTGTGTCCAATTGCCCCGTGTCCAACTGATATACACCCGAATATTCGGTTTGGCCGTCGACGTGGGAACATGGCCGGGAACTTCCCATGATTTTCTGCGCTTGGGGTTATCGTAATGAACCTATTTTTCGTCCCCAGTCACAATGCGATGCAGAAATCCCTTTCGTCTTTACCTTTCAAGCAGCTGTTCACAAGCAAATAAATGCCGTTCAACATTTCTCGGCTTCAATTCGTACGGCACCTAATTTCCTTGCTTCTGAATCATTCCCATGGCTTTGAGGCGTTTTGAAATGGCTTGTTGAATCACTCCCAATGATCGTGCCAATTCTTTTTAATTTTGACAGGAGTTTTGATCAAGTAATCCCTCCAATTCTGCATCTTTGAAAACCTTCTCTCTTCCACCGCTATTCCGGTCTTCGACGTCAAAATCACCGTTCTTGAAACGTTGAAACCACTCACGACACGTTCTTTCACTAATAGCGGCCTCACCATAAGTATTTGAGAGCATTCGATGAGCCTCAGCCGCAAATTTCTTCATATTGAAGCAGAAAATTAAAACCTCCCGCAAATGACGAGAATTTGGCTTGTAAACTGACATTTTAAATCGAGAATAACTTTATGATGCAGACACAAATCGACTAATGTCTCTATAGGATTATGTTGACAGATGCCCAAGTTAATTGTATGACGTCTATGATCTATTTATTTCGACCACCGCTTACCGCTAAAGCCATGTATAGGAAAACGGCGGAAGCAAAGTTGTACACCTAATATCAGAAAGTCACGTGTAACGCGTAATCAGTAGAAGAAGAATAAGAATGTTAAAAAAGGTAAGTAAGAAGTTAATATACAAAATTATAATAAATTTATACACATACAGACACAAAGGGTCTCTA